GCGCTTTGACTGTCACAAAACAGAGAGACATACTCTTGATTGTGCCCAAGTTCCTCCAATAGCATCTTCAACCAAATTGCTTCTTTACTGGCTTGTGTAGCTGCTACATATTCTGCCTCTGTTGTGGATGTAGCCACAACTGACTGCAACTTAGAAACCCAGCTTACAGCTCCATCAGCAACTTTGAACACATATCCTGTTGTAGATTTGCTTTTATCCAAATCCTCTGCATAGTCAGAATCTACATACCCATTGATTAGTAAGTTCGATCTTCCGTAACATAATGCAACATTTGAGGTCCCTTTGATGTATCTCAGGATCCTCTTTACTGTATTCCAATGCTCTTTGCCTGGATTCGCCATGTACCGACTAACCACTCCCACTGCTCGTGCAATGTCTGGTCTTGTGCATATCATAGCGAACATTAAACTTCCCACTGCTGATGTATACGATACTCGAGACATCTCCATCCTCTCTTCTTCACTGCTAGGACTCATACTGGAGGATAATTTGAAGTTAATAGGAAGAGTGGTAGAAATTGGCTTACAATCTTGCATGTTGAATCGTGACAAGATCTTCTTCAAGTAATTCTTTTGTGAAAGCCAAATCTTCCTATTACTTCTGTCTCGGTGAATTTGCATCCCTAGAATCTTGTTTGCTGATCCCAAGTCCTTCATTTCAAATTCCCTAGCCAGTTGTGCCTTCAATTCTTCAATATGATCTTTGTTGGGTCCTGCAACCAACATGTCATCCACATACAATAGCAATATAACAAAATCGTTATCACCAGACCTCTTGAAATAAGCACAAGGGTCAACATTAAGTCTGTTGTATCCAAGGCACATAATGAAGGAATCAAATCTCTTATACCAACACCTCGGCGCCTGCTTTAGACCGTACAGAGATTTGTTCAACCTGCAAACCAAGTTCTTCTTTTCGTCTTCTTCAAAACCTTCAGGCTGGAGCATATAAATCTCTTCTTCAAGATTTCCATGAAGAAAAGTTGTTTTAACATCTAGCTGTTCCAAATGTAAATTTAATGTAGCACACATTGCCAAGACTACTCGAACTGTTGTTAGTCGAACCACAGGAGAAAAAATTTCATTGAAATCAATACCTTCTTTCTGAGCATATCCTTTGACCACCAGTCTTGCACGATACCTCTCCACTTGATCGTCACAATTTCGCTTGATTTTGAAAACCCATTTGTTACCAATTGGCTTCCTTCCTTGTGGTAGTGGCACAAGGTCCCATGTATTATTTTTATGAAGGGCTTCGATTTCTTCTTGCATCGCCATCATCCACAGTGAAGCATCTGAGTTGTTTATTTCCTCCTGGTATGTTGATGGCTCACCGTCCTCTGTTAAAAGGCATTATGCAATATTACCTTCTATAACATAATCTGAGTGCCAATTGGGACGTATTCTCACACGATCTGATTGACGAGTTGTTGGAGCTTCAGAACTCTCTGGTTCTTGTTCATCATGTGCTGGTTCTGCTTCAGAAGAATCTCCTTCTTCAAACTCTTTTTCCACATGTATCTGAGTAGTCTCTGACTTTTCAGCGCTATCATCGTCTTCTTTTCTTTGTAGTTTATCTTCTACAAAGATAACATCCCTGCTAATGATCACTTTGCGGGCAGTGGAATCCCACAAGCGATACCCCTTTACTCCATCAGCATACCCCAAGAATTTGTATTTCTTGGATTTTGGATCCAGCTTTGAAATTTCTTGGGCGTTGTACATCACGTACACAATACTTCCAAATACATGGAGGTTTAAATAATCAACTGGTTTACCAGTCCACATCTCCATTGGTGTCTTCAGCTCTATTGCAGTTGATGGAGCTCGATTCAACAAATAACAGGCGGTATTGACTGCTTCTGCCCAGAATGATTTTTCTAGGTCTACGTCCCTCAACATTGCTCTTGTTCTTTCTAACAAGGTTCTGTTCATCCGCTCTGCCACTTCATTTTGTTGAGGAGTGTTCGCCACTATGAACTGTCTTTTGATGCATTCTTTCTTGCAAAAGTCATCAAATTCTTCACTTGTGTATTCTCCTCCATTATCTGTTCTGAAACACTTGATCTTATTTCCAGAATCAAGTTCCACCCGCGCTTTGAAGTTTTTGAAAGTGGAAAACACATCTGACTTCTTCTTAATAGGGTACACCCAACATCTCATGGAGTAGTCATCAATAAATGAGACAAAGTATTTTGCTCCGCCTAGGGATGTAACTGGTGCTTGCCATACATCAGAGTGAACCAATTCTAGAACACTTTTGGCTCTAGAATTTGATGTGTTGAATTTCAACCGGTGCTGCTTACTTGTTACGCAATGCTCACACAAAGGAAGTGTTACCTTTGTTAAGCCTAAAAGTAGTTTTTGCTCCACAAGAACTTTTATTCCTTGTTCTGACATGTGTCCAAGTTTCTGATGCCATAACATTGCAGAATCTGAACTACATGAGGCAACAGAGGCTTCTGCTTCTAGCAAAGTCTCTCCCTTCAGCATGTACAAGTTTGCTGCTATCTTTTCGCCTTTCAGCACCACAAGCGCTCCACGGAACACCTTCATGATTCCTTTATGTGTTTCAATCTTACTTGCATTATTATCCAACAATCCGTAGGATAATAAATTTTTCTTCAGGCCTTTCACGTGCCGCACATCTCGAACAACTTTAATTGTTCCATCATACATCTTCAATTTGATGGTTCCCACACCAATGATCTCTAAGGCATGATCATTGCAACTATACACAGATCCTCCTGAGACAGGTTCATAATGATGGAACCATTCTCTTCTTGAGGTCATGTGATATGTTGCTCCCGAATCAATGAGCCATATATCTGCAAATCGTTTTCTACCTTCCACGGTGGTTGACGCTTCACAGCATAGAGCATCTCCATCATCTGAAGTGTTTGCGGTATTGCCTTGTGGATTGGAGTTTTTATTTAGACTCCAACAATCCTTCTTCAAGTGACCCTTCTTTCCACAATGGTAGCACTTTAAATTCTTTTTGCTTCTTGACTTCGATCTACCATGTTTATGACTGCTGCTTTGGCCACATTCTGTTGATCTCCCTCTCACCGTTGTCAAAGCTTCTGCTTGTTGCAGATTTATTTGTCTGTCTTCCTTGTTCTTGTGACGATTTTCTTCTTGTAGAACAGTAGCTGCAACGTCATCGAAGACTAGACTAGTGACATTATTGTTTGTCAAGTTGATGATGAGTTGATCATACGAATCCGGTATACTTTGAAGTAGAAGTTCAGCACGTTCTTGTTCTCCTATTTTACAGCTTAAGGATGTAAGCTGAGAAAATAAGGTGTTCAGTGTATTTAAGTGCTCCGTCACTGAAGTAGATTCTGGCATACAGAGAGTGTACAATTTCCTCTTAAGGAAAATTTTATTGTGCAACGATGTGGCCTCGTACAGTTTTGTGAGATGATCCCATATCTCCTTAGCTGTCTTCTTCTCTTCGATGCTTGACAATACTTCATCTGCTAATGCTAGATGAAAGTTTGCCATAGCATTCCCGTCCATCTCGTTCCATTTGTTATCATCTGCGAAATCCACCGGCCTTTCACTGATAGCCGCTAGACACCCGTCTTTCCTCAGGATAGCTTTCATCTTTAATTTCCACAATGAGAAATTTCTCCCATTGAACTTTTCAATATCAAATTTCGTTGTCATAACTTCTATTTCGGATAGCTCCCACTATTTCACTATCGTGAATAGTTCTCTAGAACCTCAAAGAATGGGTAATACCTTCTTATTTTCTTATGTTAGAGGATCCACCTTTTGGTGGCAACCACAAAGACAATAAGCAGATATTACACACTCAAATCTGGCTCGGATACCAATTGTTGTGAAAGACGGCTATCGGATAGAGCAAAATCGCAATTGATAATTTGAGAAAATAAAAAATGAAGATAAAAGAGACACAAAATTTACGTGGAAAACCCCTAAAATTATTAGGGTAAAAACCACGGGCAACAGTAGAAGAATTTCACTATGAGAAAATAGGAATTACAACCTCTCTCGATCTACCAAAGAGAAAACAATGATAATTCTCTCTTGATAAAAATGAGAAAATAACTCTCAAGAAACTCTCTAAATTCTCTCTAGTATTGGAAGAAAGCTAGAATGCTTTGGGATGATTTTTGAAGCTAAATGAGCTAGGGTATTTATAGTTGAAACTTATGGACTAATTTATAAATACCCTAAATTACAATGACTAAATTTGAGGTTTTACCCATACCTAAAAATCAACAAAAACTGCACCTAATAATCCAATGCACTTTCGGTACATTTGTTTTTTCAACATCCTTGTCCGATAACATCTCTTCCTTTATCTCTTTCACTTTAGCTTCAATGTTTGAAACCTTTGAACGCCCCATATCAGGTATAGTTAAAATCCAATTTAGTAATATTCTTACACAAAAGAAATGTTAGGAGTAAGTAGTTGTGCGTAATTGTTTGGAAATCTATTTATATAGCAAAGCTCCCGCACATGAATGTTGCTGTTGCAACTTGCAACGTTTTTCACGTAGGAAGCAATTATTGTGCATTAATTATTTACGCTGGAAGTAGACAAGACACAACAATTCAACGCTCAATGATAAAATTATGCGTTTCCATGGGGAAGAGACCAACACACCTTCACTACCTCTTCTATTAGCCCCAACGTGTTTTACGTTGGCCGTTATATTTTACTTGTAAAATAATTTCTCCATTTATAGTATGAACCCGAGCCTTTAAAATTTGACAGCTGACCCTATGTTTTTTTTTGGGGTAAATTACTAATTTGGTAAGTGAACTTTAGTCTTTCTCCTATTTAACTCATTATACTTTCAATATTTTCAATTTATTCACTGAATTTTATATATTGAATTGTTTTACCATTTTATTATTTTTTCTTAGATGATGTGACATCTTTATTATATTTAACCAATTAATATTTTATTAATATTATTTATATATTTTTTTATTATCTCCTACCCAGTTTACCCCTCGTCTTCCATGCTTATTGTCATCATCTTCGCCACTCAATATGTCTCTCCACCATCTTTTCCCTTTTCTTTTAATACTTACGTCCTCCATCGCTTTCCTCCTGCCACCACGAAGGATCAAACAAGCCCAACTCACTACACCACCAGCTTTTTTAGTTGGATGATGATGCTAAGTAGAAGAATATGAACAAAGTTAGAACTTATAATTAAATAATAATAATAACTTAACTCACTGATTCACTCAACTCACCTGCATCACTATACCATCAGCTGTCTTAATTGGATGATGATGCTCAGTAGAAGAATATGAACAAAGTTAGAATTAAATAATAATAATAACTTAACTCACTGATTCACTCAACTCACCCTCATCACTATACCACCAGCTGAATCTTAGCTGGATGATGATGATCTTCCTTTCACAAAAATAAAAGAAAGGAAATAATCCCCACACCAAATCTCATATTTCCTTCCTGGTAAAAACAAACTCACAATGTTCCCCTCACTCCTCCTTCTTATTCTTCTCCTCCTCCTCCTCTGTTTTTTCTACCTATGTCGATCATTTTACTTTCACAGTCGTAGGATCCTTTACCAACCCTTCTTGCCATACGAATCAACCCATCCATCTCCATCTCCTTCCAAATACCCATTCTCTTCTTCTCCCCCTCTCGATTCCCTTTTTTTCTCCATCGTCGACGTTTCTACTTCTATCGTCGCTATTTTCCTCACCCTCTTCTATTGTCGATGCAAGTAGAAAGGTAGGTCTGTTGACAATAATAAAACTTTTATGTCCAACAATAGCAGCAGGTTGTACCCCAACAATGTTCTTGCTAGTAGACTGAGGACAACTTCCAACACCAATTATGTATTGCTTTATTTAGGTACATTGGTAATCGCGCGATGCGGAGTCGACAGTGCAGGTTCTATTAATTCGCCGACCAATGTTCAATTCAATCCCAATAAAGAGGACTCCACAGAACTCCAATCATTACCCCGTTGTCTGGGCAGAGCACTAGTCGAAACTTTTGAGCTGATGAAGTTCAGGCATTTACTGAAGAAGACGAAAAAGAACATTTGCAGCAATTGCTGTGAAAAGTATCAAAATTATTATTTATCCTGTTTTTAATTTTTTTTCTAATATGAAATTAAAAAAATATTTAATTTTGTCACATCATAACAGTTAAAAAATTAACGATTCAGTAAAAAAAAATGGATGTCTAAAATTCAGTGGGTAAATTAAAAAAATTGAATGTACAATGATTGAAATAGTAGAAAAAAAATAAAATTTAAGTACCAAACGTGTAATTTACTATAACCCACTAGACCCGACATGAACGTAATGACCGAATCTTTTAGACTACATCAATGTTTTAGATTCATAGAAACCATGAAACTTCCGAATTAAAACATGAATCGCCAAAAATTCAATATAAATCCAAGTACAAAAGTATTAGTCCGTAATATAAACAAGTATATGAGTTTGAATGTCGAAAACATATAAATATAAAATCCCAAAATATAATATAAGTATATATAAAATCAACAAAAAATAACATAAAGTCTGAAAAACGTCCATACAATGACTGAAAGGAAAATGTGCTATTAAATGATCCTCTATGTACCAGCTGAAATCCTAAAACTTGAAAGGATATGAAAAGACGGAAACTAAAAGAGTGAGCCAAAAAATCCATTGTTTCCTCTACAGCAAACAAATATCAGTTTGTGTGTGTATACAACATAACAAATAAAGAGTAAATAGTAACATTAAAATTTATTCATCAGAGTGTAGCATCATTAACATGCAACTATACCTTTCGCCGCGGATAAATAGGATGGGAACGTTACCCTCAAGAAAGGTACCCAAGTCAAAATACATGAATCAAGATGGAGATCTAGCCCTACAAAGAGGATCCCAAACAGAAACAAGACGGAGATATAATCCCATGTAGAAATAAGATGGGATCAAGTCTCATGTAGAATCAGGACGGGGATCAAATCCAATGCAGAATCATAAATGCATCAATATACATATTAAATGTGATGCAACATTATTCATGAATCAAACATGTCACAGATATATATATATATATATATTATATATATATAATATATATATTCAGTTTGCGAGCATGCTTATAGATAACAATACGAAACATAATAGGATAACATATAAAATGTATCAATTAAGTAAAAGGAACACACTTATAATAGCTATTCAAAACTGGCTAAGTCTTACGCTTCCCACAGTCAATAGTAGTAGGTCTTGCAGAATGAGAACCTAAAAACAATACCACTCTCTGAATACATAAACTATATATCTAAACAAAAATAGACTATAAAATCACTAAATAATACTTATGCGTATTTCAAGACAAGTGGGCAGAATCGAACTAAGCGGAATGAGAGTGATCAAGATTTACTGGAGAACTGTCCAGAGACACCAGAGTACCTTCAGAAAACAACACCAAAAAAGGAGTCCTAATTGAATTTTATTTATTTAGGTTAACTATAACAAATATCATTAAAAAAAATTAAAAAAAAAATTGTACTATACTATTAAGTTTTAATTTTGGATTCAATATAAGCATTGACTATTAAATTACTAATGATGTATAATGTAATCATTTTACTATAGAATTTGAGTATGTGTATCAATTTTATCATTACACTTTAATTTATGTATCAATTTGATTTTTATTGATCAAATCACAATTGTTATCGGTCAATCATCGTTCATCATCAATCGTCATTTGGGTTAACATCAATATAAAAATGTTCGGAATCCCTCGTCCAATACCTGAATGACAATTGCGACAGTTAGATTAAAAACCTCGCGTTGTGTTTTGTACATGTGCTGCTTGAATGCCGCTGCTTTTGGTTCGGTATCTGTCATCCCATACCCGAATGACAATTGCGACAGTTAGATTAAAAACCTCGCCTTGTGTTTTGTACATGCGCTGCTTGAATGCCGCTGCTTTTGGTTCGGTATCTGTCATCCAATCCAAGTGCGGTTAAATTTCTCAGTCATCCGCCTACTTACTATTTTTTCTCATGTCATGACTTGTTGGTATTTTAGATAGTTGAACTCCAAATTAATATAAAACATTATTGTTCTATTTCAACTTTAATTTCATTAAAGAGTATGGTGCACTATGAACCAGATGTAACAATTGGGTTAAGTCAAAAATTGAACTGGAAAAGGAATGCTAAGATGTAGCAGACACAACAACAACAAAACCCTATTCCCATATGCAATGGGGTAAGGGGGAGGTGGGGTGGTAGGCTGCCCCCAACGTCAGGTTGAGAGCAGCTTCCGTAGAAGACCTCTGGCAGTAAAAAAATTAAAAATAAAGATAAAATATTTTCCGACAAAATTTGAGGACAGAAACACATTTGGGTCTCGTCTCTCGTTTCACCTTGTACTAAATATCTAATGTCTGAAATAAACATGGCTGCTAATATTCGTCTCGGTCGAGTCACAAAAAACATAAAGGAAAATATTTATTGGCTAACATTATGTGCTAATATTTCACACATGGTAATTGCTCTATTGTCAAACCAAAACCCGCCCTTATTGTCAAACCAACTTTCCAAGTCATAACAACGTTAGATAGACATCTTAGATTAAAAGCGTAATTGAAATTGATTTTTAAATCCGTTGAAATAAAAGCCGTGGAAATATATTTTTATTCCCTGGTAGTTGAGGTAGGGTTCAGTGGACCAAATATTGATTGGGATAGTTTTGATCATAACATTTAAAAATTATTTAATTGACATATTTTATTCGAACAATGATATAATTAACATAAATAAATTTTTATTATTATGGTTTATTTTAAATATCTCATAGTAAGTTTTGACTCAAAACTCATAATTAACCTTGTAGACATCCATTTTCGTCCGAAATTTAAAATTTTATATCTTTTATTTGCATTTTTATTATTACACGTTACTTATTACTTACTACTTATACTAAGTATTTATTATCACATATAGTATTATATACTATTATTATTATTATTCATGTTTAATTATTATCCATGTTATGTATTATTATTATTATTATCACTTATTATTTGTTTAGTATTATATTTATTATTATATATTATAATAATTAGTTATTATTATTAAGAACATTGATACAATTTGTTTGTTTTACAGGCCTAATCTTGTAGTCTGATTACAATTTTTGTTCACCCAAATACAAGTGACTCATTGTAAGGGAGCCCAAAAGGCTCACAAAGAGAAAGAGCTCTAGTGTCCCCAACAGTCGTTGTCTTCGTGGAGTGGTATCAACCAGAGGGGCGCGCGTAACTTACGCACCAGCGATTCGTAATCTCCACGCGCCGACAGCAGCTCAATATTCATTTCGAACCTTCGATGGCAAGAAAATCTCCTCATATAAAGAAAAAAGAAAAAGCACATCAACAACAAATCTCAAAACAGAATTTTTGGGATTGAATATTTCTTTAATTGATTGTAAAAATGAAAGACTTTCATGTATACAATCGGACAAAAAACAATATGGGGGTGGAAGCAAAAACTGAAGAACGAATAGTCATTGTAATTCAAGTACTCAAATACAAAAAAAGACGTTTTTATGTAGATGCTTCCTTTTATGTTTTTTTATTATTTATTTGCATGTTCGAGCAAAACCTGGTAAGGCTTCCGGCGAGTGACCTACAAAAAGAAAAACGTGAGGGAGAATAAAAGCTAATCAAAAAGAAGAAGAGAAAGGAGCCTTACCTTCTCGGTCGGAGCTCCTCGCCGACGATAGGGATCTCCTCTCTTGAATCTGAATAGTGAGGCAAGATTTAAGAATAACGGTAACAACATATTTTAAACTAGATGCGATCTAACGTAATTTATGAAAAATCGAAGACGAGGAGGCCGAGACGAGTCTCCTAGTGAAATTTGGTCACCATCGGGGACTAATGACAGTGGGGAACGGGGGTCGACGGTCGGCTGACGGCAGGCGATGTTTCTCATCTCCTTTTTAGAGAGAAGGAAGATCCTCTCTCTCTAGAGGAAGAACCAAAGATATATAAATGGTAGAAAATGAAAAAAAAGCTAAAAGGGGTATTTAAATTCTTTCAAAAAACGATGTAGGTTTGGGAGGGGAAAAAGCACTAGACCCACCATATCCTCATAATACTCGATCCAAGACTAAGGAAATGGAATCAAAATAAACTCACATTGAAGAAAACATGTTAAAATTGCTATTGTTCAATCATAGCCAAAAGAGCCCCGTATCTTGAAGGTTATGATGTCAATGTTATATGCAGTTACCACATAGGGAGTTCAAGACATACTTCTAAGAATTGTGGGACACTAAATCGCAAGGTCCAAAATTTAGTTGATTCAGGAGCATGAACATTTGAGGAGTAATAAGACCTTCTAATGCATTCATGATGATGCACTTGCATTCTATCTTGTTCGAACTTTTTCTTCTCTTTCTTTTGCCTTAAAATTTGTAAGTTACTTGACATTTAAACACATCGAATAAAATGCTACCTATTGAGGTTACGAGCAATGAGCAAAATTATAATCTTTAATTTCTTTAAATATCAACTAAATTAAAGGCTCTTTTAAGAATTTAGGTTATAGACCTTTGACAAGTAACATGATTACACTCCTCCAAAAAGTAGATCATTTTGATCTTTAACCCAAGATATGATCCCTTGATTTTATATCGAAAACAAAATCACTTGATTGTATTCTCAAGATCACTCTTCCTCAAAAGACTCTAAATTCACACCCTAACCTTCTCAAGCACGAAGGAGGTCTTCTTCCAATACAAGTCATAAGTGAAATATGAATCTTCCCGTAAACAAGTAAGATGAGGCATTCGACGTACACGATATTGTTAGATCATTTAGCCTACAGTTCTATTTAGAATGTTCAATAATGATTCATAATCTACACAGTTGGACTGGAGGAATATATAAATTTAGCTTAGGCCAGTTGCTTGCTCTAAAGATGAAATTTTATGACTTTAAACGACACTCACTCTATAATAGATTCTTCTTAATGAGATTAAGAAACATTGAAATCGAAAACTCAGGGAAATAATGTGATATTAAAGCAAGTTAATTGTAATATTGTTGGGGGGTACTCCACTGAAAGTAGTAAGCTGATCATCTTCGGAGGTAATGTTTGAAGCAGTTGTGGGGGTAATGTCAAAGCATTTTATTACTCATATTTTCTTCATCTCTTTAGTTTTTGTTTTATGAAACCTACTCCAAATCGATGAAAATTCATATAAACTTCAATATTTTAACGTTTCGATCTCCTCCGACGATTGTCTAATGAGACCATTTCAATGTATGTTGTTAATCTTCTTGAAAGAATGATTCTGTTCATTTATATTTTTTTTAACAAACACCACAAACCTCTCAAATATGAGAAAACCCTCAAATTAGAGCATTAGAATGCCGAATCTTTAGATGGATCATCATCGATTTTTAGTGGATTTCTTAAAAAGATTGATTCAAGGAGAAGACAAAAGAGTGAAATGAAAACGTTTAGGTACTGATCATGTCTCGAATGATGACCAATGACAAGTTTTGATTGACCTACAATGTTGACAATTAATTGATAATAAATAAGTTGATACACAAACTAAAATTCAATGTTTAAAATTAAAGTATTTTAAAATTTTGTGATACAATCTATACACAAACTAAAATTTTATGCAAATATATATCAACATCAAACTATCACATCACCATATTAATAATAATTTAACAATTTAGTGCTTATATTAAGGTCTTGTTTGGCATGACTTTTTAGAAGATTTTTAGGTAAAAAGTTCATTTCGACCGCAAGTTCAATATCAAATGAGTAAAAATGAGAAAAAACACGATAGAAATGGTGGTTTTAAACCAACTCCAAGAACTAGGATTTCTAGTTTTTCAGTTTCAACTTTGTGTCTAGAAGTAAATTATAATTTTACTCTTAGTAATGCATGAGCTCCACTAAATTATGTATTTACATTTTATTTTAATAATTTAATACTAATATTCTTAAAAAATAATTTATTTTATTTATTAATGTTTTTTGTAATATTCTTTTTGTCAAAACAAATATTTAAAATATTATTTCATAATAATTTTATGTCCACATGTTAAAAAGTATTAATAATATATTTTTCTTAATAAAATATTTCATATATAAAAATGTTATTTAATGAATTATCTTAATTTTTTATATTTTTATTATTGTTTAAGTTGGTATATTTTATATATCATAGTATCAATAAGTGTAAATATAATTTAAATGCTATATTTTTAATTTAATTACAACATAATGTCTATCATTGACATTTTATTTTTTCTAACTCACTTTTTAATAACAATCTCAAACAAATAAATTTTAAACTATACTTTTGTGTCATACTTTTAAAAGTTACTTTTTAAAATTTACGATATAGATAATATATCATCTAAAATTAGATGATATAGATAGTACACTTAATCATGAAAAGAAAATATTAAACTATGCTAGATTACATAAAGTGATAGCAGATGTTCAGAACATACATCTTGCAAGCATGAGGAGCAACGGATGGCGTTAATCTGATTGATTAAAAATCCTGGGATTGGAGAGGAGAGGGCATTAAGGCTGACAATAGCACAAGTATTGAGAGAGTATCAAATATCCCTTCATACAGCAGTGATAAGAGCTGTGGATTCGCTTCGGCTCCACAACCCTATTGCCCCACTCCATATTTGTACCCTTCTTTGGATCGTATTTTGCTCCTCTTTTACAGGTCGAAAGTCGCATCCAATGAGAAGAGGAGCAAAACATTCACATGTAAAATCAAAACAAAGAGACTGACCTTCCTAAGCCACCAAATGCTAAAATGAAATCGATATTCGTCTGGAGTCACACTTCGATCATATCAGTTTCTAATAACCGAAATAAATAGGAAAAGGTAATGGTTCAAGTCTTGCAGTTACAATTCCACCTGCGAGGTCTAACTGCAATCCAAAATAAAATGCTCACACCCTAGCATTCCCAATATAGAGTCTAATTCCAAGAATTCCAGGGTTGTGAGCATTTAATGTCAAATAATTAAAAAGTTATATTTAAACAGATAATGCTTCCTATTTATTTCAGAATAATTAAAAAAAATAATCACTAACATCTTCAACCCTCAAAGTTAATGAATTTTTAATATTCTAAAATGATTTTATTTAGTCATTGATAGTGTACAATTCTATAAATAAATTATTCAAACTCAAGATCTAAAAGAAAAATAATTCACTATTAATCACTTAGATCATTCAATAAATTTTTTCAGACTCAATGCTAATAGATATTGTCCGACTAACATTGATATATTTTTAAATAAATCGTTAAACTAAACCATGTATAAAATATTAATTAGTCCCTCCTAAAACACCAAGTACATTAGAAGATGAAAACCTCTCATAAACATTAAAATAAACCAAGAATCGATCAATTAGCGATAAGAACTCGAGATTAGCAATTGCATGTCGCTAGGAGACAGCCTCCACTCTGAAGATCAAATCATTAAAAAAGAGCTAACCCTAAGAATAAGAAAGAAACTACTTGTAATGATGTTTATCAAAAGAAAAGGTATTTGTAATGAAATTTAAAAGACAATTATTTTATTAAATTTAAAGCGTGATACAATAGGGGGAAAATCACTTTTAAAGAAAAACAACAGAAAAAAAAATCAATTTAATATATTGTATGTTCTTACATATACAAAACAATATATATATTATTTAAATAGTTCAATACAATGGACTGAATAGTTTACTAGTTAAGTTAACGTACACTTATCTAGCAACCAATTATTTATATCATATGCTTACGTCTATCCAACGTGGCAATTTTATATCTCAAAGTTCATACAAATCAGATTGGGATAGTTTCCATCGTATGAAATATTTTCAAGCTAAAATCATGCTTCTACTTCTATTTTGGCTGTTTTTTTTATAGAAGATTTTAGCTGAATTTATGAAAATATAAATATATGTTATATATTACTTGACCATATAGTTAATTTAAGAAATTTCGTTTCTCCTTTCCGTAAAATCTATCTTCTTTTAATATATCATCAAGTTTTGAAGAAAGATAAAGCATACCTCCAACGGCGAACATATATATCAGATACACAAAAGAAAGCGAATTTACTGAATCTTCAACTTATTACAAAAGAATATTTATCCTGTCGACCTAATAATGTGTAATATGTTACAACATGTTCTGCACTTATTGTGATCAATGTAGGGGATCTAAAGAAAAAAGAGGAATAATTTTACAAAATCTTGCAACTTATTTGGAGATCTCCCTGCCAGTGTTTAGGAAGTAAATTTCCGGTTTCAGTTTTTCCTATATATACCAAAAAAATGATTGAATTGATGAATATACTAATAAAAAAACTTGGGGTTAAAGGCAAAAACATAGAATGCCTTAGTGAATAAAGAATGTTCATTTTCATTCACGACGCTCTGCACAATATATGTACTTGTCTAGCTTGATTTTCCAGCTTCCAGCTCCTCCAAATTCTTAATGACAGCATCGGTTGCAGTATTCAAGAAATGCGACCAGTCCCTACATACCAAAAATGGAAGAAAAAAAAGAGGGAAAAAAACAAAATGTGAATCTTTAGTCGATCATTATATCAATTATAGCAAAAAGACAAAGAAATGGAAGTTCATACATACCCTGTTAAAGTGTCAAATGTTAGTCCAACTGTGTACTTTGCCTCCTCGAGAGCCAAGCTAAACCTTTGCAGCTGCTCGGCCGAACTCGTCCCATAATCCATAACTCGAAGCTGTGATGGTTTAACATCACAAAATATGGGTATAACCCTCTTCTTAGTCTCCATGAGAAGAGCAAGCTCATGGAGGCAAAAGTATGAATCGCAATAATTGGGCGAAAAGACGGCGAAACCGATTTTACAATTGCGAATGGCGGGATTGATTTCGTCGAATAGTCTGTCACCGGGCTTCATGTTTCGGCTATCCAGGAAGGGCCTTAACCCCATCCTGAATAAATGGTCATGGAGCAACCCCGCTATGTTTTTCTTCGTATCAATTCCTCGGTGGTTAATAAAGATATCACAGGGGGTTGCATGGATTGGGATTTTGGGTAGAAGGATTTTACGGTACAAGTTCTTGGCAGATGAAGCTCCACGTAGCTGCATGGCTCCTTGGAGACGCTAAAATGAAAGCACAAAGAGAAATGTACAATAAATATTTATTCAAAGCTATACAAATTGAATACAATTGTTTGTTTGGAAGTTGTATGGGAGAGAACTTGAGCGGGACAAAGACGCTGAGAGGTCATGTATTTATAGGGTGTTGGGATTGGATTTGTTTAATGACTGGAATTTGATTATTCTTCGGTTTATGTTTGACATCATGCACAAAGAGGGAAAACTAAAGCCTTGCATCGCTTGACCCCTCAACGCTTTTCTTCTGCTTTGAATAACCCTTCAACCACTTTTATATAATAATATTCAACTCTTGTCTAGGGATTTTTCCCCCTTTTCGTGTTATTTCTTATGTATTATATAATTAGGCCAAAAATATTAAGAGTGACCTTTTTCGCATCTTGATGTGGTCCATTAAATAAAATTAGACATATACAAAATATGATTAACAATGCATCTCGCTACATGTCACACGAGAATGTTATCTAAAACTCTCGTTCATAAGTTGTACAAGATTGACATGTAAGCTCTCGAACGTTGTCTAGCAGATTATGCAATGAAGGGATCTAGAAATCGACAAGATCAAGAGATTATACACTGAAATCAGCTCAAGAAAATCAAAGGGCAGGTGTGTGAAAACAATAAGGTTTCTATTATTCTTTGAATTTGCATGTATTAAAGCAATTTATTGGGATTTCTGAGTAATTTCACATTTTTATTAAAAAAAAAACTAAAATGGGGGGCGGGGGTGTTTGAGTTTCTAGTGCATCTATTTCAACCAGCCGGCGGCCACCATTGCCATTTTGCAAAGATATTATTAATCTGTAAGTTTAAAATAAGAATGATTTACATAATTTTCACGTGAAACAATAATAACTCCTATATCTATAAATGAATTGATAAATGCATTATTACATTAGAGAGATTTACTTAAGATTTTACATGGGGAAGATGAATTTATAAATTTTGAATAAATTTATAAAATTTTAAGAGTAAAAATACATCATCAAAAAAATTTACAAAATATAAATTATATCCAAATCTTATTTTTTAAAAAAAAACAACTATCTCTACTAACCCTTTATCCATTCCCATATATATATATATATATATATATATCCTTTATTCATTATGTGTCATCGCATATATATATACACTACACATGATCTTGTAATCTTTAAATTACAGTTAACTAATAATTTCGTTATTTGCAATTTCGAACAAATATGTCGCAATCGACCCTTACGGGGAAAAGCCGACTTGTTACGATGATAATTTTTCTTTTTTAAAGATTTTGATAAAAAGAAGGGAGTTGCTCCCAATTATTTTTAAGGTGCAATTAAAACATCTAAAATCAAATAATTTTAATAAAACATTTAATTTTATAAAAAAATATCAGGCTCTAGTCTACGAAATCAAAAATCAGGTACGGTAATTAATTACGTGTGGGGAATGATTAGCACCCTCACATCACCCAAAATTTGGTACTTAATCGATTACCCTATATGTTAAAATTACAAATTTTGAGTTCAAGGTTTGTTTAATTGAAAAGGTAAAGTATATAAACAGTCCCCAAACTTTTAAAATGTTTGTATTTTAGTCACCTAACTTTTAAAACTTGCAATACAGTCATTAAACTTTTAATCTGTTTTCAGCTAGGTCTTTCATGGATTACCATGTCCCTAAAGCATGTAGTTGGTTTGGAATAAGTTGTGCTCGTTGCGAGATGTGGTTGCTCAATTTGTGGGCCACAGCACGAATTGTTGGAGGTAATCGGGGAAGTATCAGGTTAAGGGAATATGGAAAACTGTTAGGAGAAGGCGCAAGAAGGTGAAATAGGTGAGTTATTTTTTGTTTCCATCTTCAAATTCCGAGAAATGCTATCATTACATGGCTTGAGTTGATGTATACATGGGCGGAGTCACTATACATAGAGGAGTGTCATTTGACACCTCAAAAATTTATAAAAAAAATATTTTATATAATATATATAATATAAAACAACAAAATTTACACCACTATTAAAAAGTATTGACCCCTTAAAATGAAAGTAATCTTAATTTTATTTGAAAATATTTTTAATAATAATAAATTTAAATTTTCATTTCAACGATATCCTCCTAAAAATTTAGCCGGGTCTTACGTTTCTGTCTATATACAGAGAATTTTTTCGCAGGAATTTATTTGCAGGGATTACTTCCCATTACAGACACGCATATGATATAATGACTACATATGAATACTGTTCAACTATGTATTTTTGTATTTATTTATACATGCATTGCATTTTATCTATATTTTAATTTTCTGACTATCGGAGGTCTTCCACGGAAGCTACTCTCAACCTGGCGTTGGGGGCAACATACTACCCTACCTCCCCCTTATCCCATTGCATATGAGAATTGGGTTTTGTTGTATTAATAATAATATATTCACTAATATTGTATAAAGTTATTTATTAAAGAAAATAAAATTATAGAAGTATCACTACTTAAAATGTAAAATTATTTTACAAAACTAATTATATGATAAAAATTCAGTAAAAATATAATTTAAAAATTGAATAATTGATGACCAAAATAAGTTCAAAAAATAAATAATGGAAGATGTGCAAATTTATATTGATGTAAGTATGTTTATTTCTACATGGCATGATAATGGTAGATGTACATACTGATACAGTGTAAATTTGGTACCTAGAAATAAATACACACTTACACTGATATAAGTGTGTGTTCTCTCACTATTTTGATGCTTAAAAATAAACATATATTTATATTGGTATAAGTATGTACATATAGATTAATGAATTGTAATACAAATAAAAACATAAGAGAATATTAAAATAATATTTTTATAGGAAAATATCATTAATAAATAAAGTATATTATAAACGAGATAATAAAAGAATTTATTCATGAACAAAAATGAACCAAACACACATCTGTTCATGTCCGTTCATTTATTAAATAAACATATTATTTTTACTTATACTTGTTTGTTTAGCTTAATAAACAAACACAAACAAATGTTATACGAACGCTTCATGAACAATTCATCAAATGTTATGCTCATATGCAATCTTATTTTAGCCATATTATGTATTAATTTATTAAGTATTAATATTATGCATACATTTATATAATTTTATTTAGATATTTTAATTTTAAAATTATGACACTGTAATTTAAAATTCTTGGCTTCGCCAATGGATGGATAGGCTGTCAACTAGGGATAGATTGTTGTGGTAGGGATGAAAGTTGGGAGAAGCTGTTGCTTCTGTGTTGATGGTATGTAATTGAGAGATTACATGGTTTTTGGGTGTGATTACTCGAAGGAAGTATGGAGGGTGTTATGACTTTGTGTCAAGTTTCGAGGGAGTTGGTACCTGGAGAATGTCCACAAAATCCATTAAGATAGGATTAAACTTACGCATCCAATCGATCCCAAGAACCATACCATTGCCACCTAATTGTAGGATACTAAAATCATGACAAAAAGTATTTCCCTGCATTGTCCAAGTAACCTAATTTGATTTTGCTGAGCTAAATACTTTTCCACCATTTGCAACAGTAATTGTTAGGGGATGTGTGGAGACAAGTTTTATCCCTTCTTTAGCCCACCTTGGAGTAAGGAAACTATGTGTGCTGCCATTGTCGATTAGAACATTCAGTGGTTTGCCATTAATGAAACTTTGAATTTGAATTGTTGTATAGCCGACATTCCCAGTAATAGCATTAACTAAGATTTTTTAAAGGCTCCTCCTCTGCACTCGGTTGTTCAATTGAATTCTCATGGAATGTGTCCCCGGAATCCACATTATCCTCATCCTCCATTGAATTAAGCTGACGAGCTTTGCATTGATGCCATGGAGAATATTTATCTCCGCATTTAAAACATAGGTTGTTGAGTCTTCGGTGCTCCAAAAGTGTGTTTTTGTTTTGAATTGGAACTGAAATTTCCTGTAGAATAGCATTCTGGAGTGATCTGGAAAAACTGTTTGGGTTGGGAAGTGTGGGTTTCGAAAGGGTGTTCGTTGCCTTTTTGCTTCAAATTCGATCGATATCTCATAGAGTTTGACTTGACTACAAGCTTCAGCTAAAGACCTTGGGTTTAATGCTTTAACCCGATGTTCAAGCTCATCTTTCAATCTACTTATAAAAATGAAAACAAAAAACTTTTTCCCCCAAAGTAGGGTTTTGCAACAACATGTGGGGTTTTATGTCTTCAAATTTTCCCTGGTATTCCTCCACCATAACAGTTTGCATTAGCTTACTAAATTCTTCGATAATGTCTGACTATGTTCGATCAGTAAATCGATGGCATAGGTCAGCTTCAAATTCATGCCATTGGACTCAATGTTTCTGCATAATGTATCCATCGAATTATGTCTCGGCCTTTACCCACTAGATGCATTGCAGCAAATTCCACCCGCTGGTTATTAGGTACCCCAAAAAAATGAAAAAAATTGTAGCATTTTTGTATCCATCCCTTTGGGTTTGTCCCATCAAAAACTTGTAACTCAACTCTAGGTCTAGGAAATATAGACCCATAACTCCCAAAAGACCAACTTTGCTCCATTTTCTCTTCTGCCAACTCTTCTTGATTGGTTCTAATTCTACTACTACCACCTTTTTTGTTGATTTACTTGAAAATTAGATGGTTTAATTTTGAGAATACCTGTTTCTTCGAGGTTATAAGAAATCATGGATTTGTCATTGATAATTGTCACTGCCATTGGTCTTTTTCCATTTGTTTTTGTAGGAGTCTCACTATCTGATGGTTTCTGCTCATCTGTTCGCCCCATTAAAATTCGTAAAATCTACTCAACATATTCTTGGTTAGTCGTCATTCTTTTCTCCAGGCTAACCAGGCGGTCGTTCTCCTTTTCCCACCATTTTATAGGTTAGGATTCATCAGCTGCCTCCAACTGTAACAGAAGTATAGAGGGTGTTATGAACCTGTGTCAAGTTTCGAGGGAGTTAGTATCTGGAAGCATGAGGTCTCTTGGGCTATTGCAAATCTCAAAGACAAAACGTTCGTTTCTATTCTTTTGAGAAAAAATATAAGGGTTTAGGGGGGAGCTCATAGGAGTGTTGTTGAACTGATTGGGGTGATTAAGGAGGAGGTCCAAATACGATTGACGAGCATTGCTATTCGCCAGGGAGGGATAAATGACAGTTTGTGTATAGCTTGAGACATTGCTAGATAGTTTTTTGTCCTGCTTTGTTATTTGTTGTATATTTTGATTGTGTTCTACAAAGTCTTTGCTGATTGTTTGAAGCAGACTCTGCTTTCTTTTTTTGGTAATGAAATTTTAGCAATTATAAAAAAAAATCGATTATGTTAATAATAAATTTTATAAAATGTTTGGTTTTGGTTTTGGTTTCATTTAAGTCGATCACGGTTAAAAAATTAATAGAATTATTAAAGTGTCACCATAAAATAATATTACATCATCATTAAAAATATAAAAAAATGTCACATTAGCAATTCTATTAGTTTTTTAACAGTAAGTAATCAAAATGTAACGTTAAATATAATATTAAAAAAATAGTTGAATAACCAAAACAGAACAAATATGATAGTTGATGTACTAAACATGTAATTTACCCATTAAATTTTTATGCGATATACTTAATATATTATATAAAAATAAGATAATAGAATATATTATAGAAAAGAAAGAAATAGGTACAAGGCCTTGCCAACACTGATTTTCATGGCGGGACAAACATTTTAAAAAAACTTTGATGGTGAAATTGTAAGATATTTTGTGTAGAAGAAGATCATTAAAGGTTGGAAGATGGCAAGGGGAAATTAGATAAGGTTTGATTGGGGGGTCTGAACCCCATAAGAGAATGATACCATAGAGGGAGTGGGTCATAAATCTTAATTAATAGGAAAATGTTGCATGTTCCAGCTCAGATTTGATACGGAGCTGTCTCCAACAAATTCTACCTACTCATGGTAGATCTAAGATAAAAAAATTATCAAATTACTTTATTAAAGTTAAAGATAAAAAATATTATAATTTTAACATTCAAATTTTAATTATTCATACTTTTAAAATTTAATTTTGATTCCTAAGATTTTGACCTGACTAATCTAGACCAACTGTGTCGCACACTATATATAATGGGTGAGTTTCTCAGCGGGAATTTTTACGTATATAAATTCAAACACAAGGTTTGCTTAAGCGATATCAAATGCTTATCATTTGAACCAACCCATTAATCTGAACCATTGATTTGAGTTAACTCAAACTCAAATATTTTAAACAATTTAACTCTAATGATTCAAAAATAAAAATATTCAAGTTGAAGCAAATTCAAACATCCTTGCAAGTGAGGGTTCTTTATGGGTTGCCTGTGTAAAGGCTTATGTTCTTAAGGGTAAAGAGTTATGGCAAATGGAAGCTGGTCCTAGTCTGAGTTGGAGTTTTAGAAAAATCCTTAAGCTTCGAACAGAAGCTCATCCTATTCTCCAGAATGGAGCTCTCTTGGAAAGGCAAATGGAAAGAAATTAGAATGAAGGAGGATAAAGTCTCTTGGCACTCTTTAATTTGGTTCCCTCAAAACATCCCCAAGCTTAGTTTGATTGCATGGATGGATGTGATTGATAGGCTGCCTACATGTGATCGCCTTCAACGGATGGGAATTGTTTCTATTGGAAGCTGTGTTTTATGTAATGATACTTTAGAAAATCGAAACCATCTGTTCTTTGAATGCCCGATTACCACTCACCTACGAGTACAAACTCTTCTTCTGAATGGGATTAACAAGACTATTTCTTCTTGGGAAGACATGATCTCTTGGGCGAGCAACACTTGGAAAGGAAAATCTTTATTAATCACTATCCTCAAACTTGCTTGGAGCGCAACCATCTACGTTTGTGGGAGGAGCGGAACCGAAGGATTTTCAAAGGTTGCTCTCGAAACACTGATGAATTACTTAGCAGTATTAAAGACTATGTAGGAATTAAACTTAGGGGAAAAAATATTAATAGGCTTGACTATGTTAACTCCAATCTTTGCATTGCTTGGGATATTGATTAATACCGATCTTTATTTTGCATTTGTTTGTATATTCTTCATGTTTTCTGGGATCGGTGATTCTTGTAACTAACGTTGTTTCTTGGGTAATAAAAAATTGAATTATCCAAAAAAAATATGAGAAATGACAGAAATAAAAATGTATAGTAATTATCAAATTCTAGCATTAAGGATTTTTTGATACCATTTATAGTGTTGTAGTAATAGTGGATATGTGTGATAATTTAACCCTCGAGTGATTTTCGTGTACTTGAAACAAAATTTCGTCGTGGATATTTAGGTTATCTGATATTGTTGATTGTGCAATAATAGAACTAAAAAAGTTTGTAGTAATTTTTAGGGACTAGAAAAAAATATAGATGAATTATTTGTGGGCCTTTCACGTTCCAATCAATATTTGCATGTGCAAAGCCTCATAATTTTCGGTTGGCTTTCGATCCACCTGTCTCTCTCTCTCTGCTTGCTCTTTCGTTCACGTTCATGTACAGTTGGTCATCTTTTTCAAACAAAATCTACATCTTCGAGATTGTGACCAGCACTTCCATTAACTCTTCACTTTAAGCTTTAAGCTTTGCCCAACACTTTCCCAATAAACACCAAAACCAAACCCAAAGCTTGGACTTTACTTCAAGAATATCATTACTATGCTTTTTGTTTGAGTTCTCATTCAATGGACTCAACTACTGTTCTTGATCGTGCTTTATTTCAACTCACTCCAACTCGAACTAGGTAAGCTACGATTTTATACTTGCACTTTCTTATAATGAAATGACTGAACTGAACTTTTTTTTTTTTGAAGATTTGATCTGGTACTCTTCTACAAAGGGAAAAATGAGAAATTGGCTTCTGGGCTTTTTGAGCCCTTCATTTGTCATCTCAAATTTGCAAGAGATCAGATTTCAAAAGGTGGGTATTCCATTACTTTGCAGCCACCTGCTCCTGGCACTCCCTGGTTCACCAAAGCTACTTTTGAGAGGTAATTTGATACCGATTCATTTGAATTGGAATTTAATTTGAAATGAGTTTCATAGTTTATTAATCTGATTTCTCTGTATGTCCCATATTTCTTATCTGTGCATTTATTCTTGGATCTCTTTCTATGAACAAAATCAATTTTGATGCTAAGTTTTCTACAAAACTCAAGTGTTGGTTAATCATATGGGAATTCAAGCATTTAGTCCTTGCATTTCTTGGATTCTGATAATTCTTCCCAGCAGAGCAATCTGATGGTGGATTCTAAACTAAGGGTGTGCAAGCTTTAAAAGGGAGCAGTGAAAAGCAGTTTTACTAAATTTATTTTTTGTTTATTTTGCAGATTTGTGCGCTTTGTTAGCACACCAGCAGTTCTTGAAAGGTTTGTCACCATAGAAACAGAAATCTTGCAAATTGAGAGATCTATTCAAGCTAATGAATTAGCTAATGCCAATGGAAAGCAGGAGGAAGGTATGCTCAATGACTTCCTTTTTTGCTACCAAAAGTTTTTATTTTGCTCAAATCTCTTTGTTGGTTCAAAATAAAAAATGCATTACAAACTAACAGTTTAGTTTCAAAGATCTGTAATGTATCTCCTAATTGATTTTTTCTCTCTCATATGGCTCAGATGCAAATGGTCATACAAAGAAATCAACCGATTTAACAAAGGTATTCCTTTACTTTTTTTTTTTGAATAATTTATAGACTAAATGCCATCTTTTTTTCCTTAGAAATTCACATCTTCTGTTTTTTCAAGTGTTTTATAGTGTTCTTTTATGTTCGTTTGTCACCAGGTGAAGGGTGAACTCAAGATAAAAGATGAGATTAAACAGGAAGAGAACTCCAAGTAACTTATTTTATCCATAAATGGCCTCACTTTGGTCATACTAATTCATACTCCTAGTTCATTGGATGCCCTTCATTTGATTCATTCGGTCATTTTTGTGAGTAGGGTTCAACTTCAACGGCTACTGGAAACTCGAAAAGCCTTGCTATGGAAAGAACAAGCAATGACTTATGCTCGTGGGATGGTTGTTGGGTTTGCAATGGAAAATATGGAACATCTCATCTCGTTTGCAGATGCATTTGGAGCATCCAGGTTAAGGTATGAAACATTAACTACAAGTATTATGGGATAGTTTTTTTATTTTTGAAGCATAAACAAAATACAACAACGGGTAAACAAGAAAGTGTTTGAAATTCATTAAATCTAATGATAGTATTTGAATAGAACCCTACTTTAATAGTTCACTTCATATTCTTCTACTTTTACCACTGACTATGAATTGAAGTTACATCTTTATCTGTTCATGATGACTACTTTTTGTGTACCTGAAGGCAGAAAGTTTCTTTGAAGTAGCTTCAGATGCACTAAAATTGTTTTAGCTATCATAAATTAGTTCCGCATAAGCCCATAAGTTTGTCCCTTTTCCCTGACATTCAGCCTACTTAGGGTCTTATAATTAAGCATTGATTATTTTTAGGGAAGCATGCATTAATTTCAAGGAATTATGCAAGAAAAAGCATGCGGACCTTCTTTGGATGGAAGAATTAGCTGCAGTTGAGGCATGCTCACCATCCGAACTGCCACTGTTGGGAACATCTGGCATTGTGCTTGCAAATGGAATTAGCAGCTCTAATGATCTCACTTCAAATGAATCTTCAGCAGGATCAACATCAGACACATGTGCAGGAGCTGTGGATTCCAAGAAAGGTATCTCAGAGGCTTATAGCTTTTCCTTGCCTTTTCATTACAGCTTCTCAACAATCATACTTAAAGAATACATCTCATTATCGTTATCATTACCGTTCCTGTTGAATCACCTGCTCATGTCTGTGTAAATGCAAAACATTTACTTGATTGCCACTTTGGATATAGTCTTACTTCTTGCTTGACATATTGGATAGGCATCCATAAGTCCTCTCAAACTTTACAGAATGTAAAATATACTTTTGGATTAGAATCCATGCTTCTTGGAACATGCTAGGATGGCAAGCGTATCCTTTTTTTGGCACTAAATATGAAATTTGTTTATATTCAAATAGATAATATTTGGTTCCTCTGGTGTACATTCAGATGAGAATTTGCCTGCATCAGTTCGGACACCATCATCAACTACCTCAAAAACTCAAGTTCCAATGCAATGGCTAAATCAGATGCCTCAGCATATGTATAATTTTCAAGGCCAGCTACCTCAGTATCAAGGATATCCCTTCCATCCTATGCAGCCTGTGCCACTTCCATATTCAATGAATATGCAGTGGCCTCCTAATTTGAATCAGAAATCAACTTCTAAGCTAAAGAAGAGATTGTCGAATGGGAAAAAACTTGATTATTCAGGAGAGGAAAGGGAAACCGAGTCCAGTGGCTCCGACTCTGGAAGTGAGCCTGATTCAGATGTGCAACAGGAAGATAGAAAGCATTCATCGCCAGATCCTCCATTTAGGAAGAAAAACCGTAAGAAGTCGTCTGGAACAGTTGTCATTCGTAATATTAACTACATCACTCCGAAGAGGAGGAGCGGAGAGAAAAATCAAGCTTCAGATGGATCTTATTCTGCTGAGGATGATCTGATTGATGCAGATTCCTTAAAACAGAAAGTGGATGATGCAGTCAAGTCACTGAAGGAATCAGGCAAGTCAAATTCAAGTAACAGAAAAAGAAAAGGTGCAGACAAGAACCACCATATTACGGAAAAATCATCCGATGCTTCTTATGAGAGAGATTCTGATGACCTCGACGCAAACACATCAGAGGTAGGAAAAAGAAATGGAAACTGGGATGCTCTCCAAAACCTTCTAATGAGGGGTGAAGAAAATCCAAGTGTGAATGAAGTAGAATGGAAGCAAGCTGAGGACGTTCAGGAACATTTCATGGCTAGAAACTTTGATGGTGAAATTTCTGCAACTACTCTGAACTTAGAATCACATAAAGTTCCAATTAAGCGGGCAGGTTTGGTTGATTCTTTTGTCGTGACTCAGAGGGATGAGACTAATGAAACTACGGTGAAGTTGGATGATTTTGTTAATGGAGAGAATTACCGTCCTCTCATGAAAAAAGGGGACAGTGTTGATGTACATTTGTTACCTCCAGAGAGATCGGTTGAATTGGGAAAGAAGCTTGGTGATCCCATATCTGCCTCTGCAAATGAGTCAGCAATAATCAGGTGTGGAAAGGAAGAAGATTGGTTTGTTGGAAATCACCCCATAAAGTCCGAAAACCAGCATTCATCCAATAATCAGATGTTTTTTAATGGTGATCGTGTTTTATCAGTTGAGAGTGATCCTTTATATTCTCAGAAGAGTAGGAAAGATGTTCTTGTTGATGATTCTTTCATGGTGGCAGCTCGGCCTGCAGGTGATGACCAGGATGATTCCCAATGGAAAACAGATATAAGTATGGTTGCAGATCTAACTTCACCTAGCAAACCAGATGGAACAAAAGATGTTTCACAAGATGAGCATAAGATACGTAATGCCGAGCCAATTGATCTTTGCATGGTGCTTGAACGACACCCTGGATATGAATCCTCCAGAGACTCCTGGACAATGGATTATCAAATTGATTTATCATTTACTGAAACAAATAGAAGTGCAGCTAGCAAATGTGATGATGACGAGAAAGTTTCTTCAGATCATAAGATCACCATTGCCAAGCATAATGAAGTCCAAGGAATGAAAAATCCGGCCAAGGAAGCCAGGTCTAGAGTTTTAAATGGACCCACAGGGAGAAGCAAAGCTGAAATTGTGTCCAAGAGTAAGAAACCATCTCTTGTTAGTAGGCCCATTACTCAAAAGAGCAAGTTGGAGAAGGTAATGGTTAATGTCTTCCAAGTAGCAACCGATCGATATGTTTTAATATAAACCCTTTCCCTTTAATTCTTTATAGCTTCTAATGTTGATATGCTTATCACCAGGAAGAAGAGATGCGGAAGAAGATGGAAGAACTACGGATTGAACGGCAGAAAAGAATTGCGGAGAGAACTGCCGCTGCTGGGTATGCTTCATCTGTATCCAAGAAATCACCATTAGAAAGTAAGGGAGCAAAAGGTTCCATAAAGAGTGACAAGAACAAAAATGTATCTACTGCTCAAGCAACCAACAGGGTGGATTCTGTCAAACTCAGAGCAACTTAGAAAGAAGCCTGAAAAGATTTTATGAATGGTTGGGATATGATTTCCGACCCTTCACATTTTGAGGAGGATCGGATTAAAGCCTGAAATCTCTCGAGCCTCCTACCTGTTGAATTTGCTTGGAACATGCACCGCTGATCATATAATCCAGAAGTTGAATCCTCATGCACGTTACTCTATACATTGTCAATATTCACTTGCAATTCATTCCATCATTGTTTGTTTCAATAAGTTATAAAATACTAAATAAACTCAGTGACATGTATTTATTTGCACTCCCATATGTTTTTCTACTGTGAATGTCGGTCACTAAAACAAAGTTTCTTTTGTTTGTAATTTGTATTTTTTAAATAGGTAATTGTATATTTTTAGAGTTCTATTGTGCTACATGGATTTATTATAATAATAATATTTTTTTTATAAATGACTAACATTATAGTTGACTTAACATCATTTTAGTTTGCTTAATAAAATTTGATAAAAAAAATTGAATTATGATCATTTTTATAACCATGTGGGTAAAAATAAATCATTTTAATTTGAAATTATTAGTAAAGCGAAATGTGTGAGCTGTAGTCCGCACTCCGCATTTAATGCAAATGTTATGCGTAAATAATGACATTTTGCCTCCAATAGTGTAATCGATTTTGGTTCCTTGAAGAATACTAAAATTTTAAATTAAATATGATGATAAAAATACATTATCTCCCAAAAATTTATATAATTTAGTTTTGATCTCTTCTTAAAGAAATTTGTAGATTAATTTTAAAAAAAATATTTTATTTTAATTTTTTTTCTTTCCTACCACATACACTAATAAAATGAAACATGGATTTTTCATTTTCTTTTTACTATATTAAACAAAATCTCAACGCCTACTTATTGTATTTGTATTATATAAATAATTATATTTATTTGATATAAAAATAAATGTATATTATATAATATATATTCCATTCAATTAATTTAACTTGAAATATTTTAATCCTCCTCCTGATAAACGAAAAGGTTCGGTGCCTGTAAGTTTGAAAATTTTAAAGTATACAAAATGGTTAAAAAGTCATTGCCTTAAAATTCAAAAATATTGTATTTTAAATCAGATCTGAATCTGGGAAAAGTCATCGAAACGATTTACACGCGTTATAAAGGTTAGATCGACTCATTCTTATATTTAAACGTAGGAAAGGAGAGAATCTAGGTGCCTTTGCTTAATGCTATTGCTCAGCGGCACCCTAAACCCTTCCGAGCGTCCTTCAAATTATTAACTAATTCGTCAGACTTACCGCTTTCTTCTCTATCAGTATCAACGCTTTTCGTTACTCTGCATCTTTTGTTATCGGCCTTTTGCTTCCCTGTCTCGCGATTTCTGCTCTTGCTTTCTGGGGTTTACTTGTTTCTTTCAACTATGGCTTCAACGCTGTTGCTGGCTCTGGTTTTTGTGATTGATCTGATTGCTTTCGCACTTGCTGTTGCAGCTGAGCAAAGGAGAAGCACCGTGAGTTTTTTTCTTCTTCTAATTTTAACCTTTATATTTACTCAAGTGTCCTTTGTAGTAACTCGTTGCTGTTTCAGTTTGGTTTCCTTCTCCTAGGATATCCCTGTTTTAAACCCGCTAATTTCCAGAAATTCGGCTACTTCTTTTTGTTTAAGATTTGCGAACTCGGGTTTTGATTTCATATATAAAAGAAAAGTTAGAACTTTTTTGCTCTTGTTGTATGCAAAAAGTTCTCTCTCTCTCTCTGGTTCCTTGCCTTTTAAAAGACAGATAATTTTTATATTTCTGCGTCAGATCTATAATGAACCTGCTTTAACCTGTTGGTTGAAGTTCTATTTCTCATCAAGTGCACATTGAAAAAGAAAACCTAGAAATATTTTTGGCTGCAAAGTGCAAACCATTTTATTACAACAATGTGTTAACAGATTCAAATGTAAGTTTAAGGAGGCCTACAGCTACCAAAGAGGGAACTTTTTTTTTTGCTGCGGTTGTTATATGAACAGGCTTGTTGGGTTAGTGGTAAATGAATCTCCTTGAAATATCAAGGAAAAGACTGATGTTGAGAACTTTGTCCTATCTTCAATATCACTTTAGATTTTAGATGCTATGTTACTGCTGCAATGGATTAATTACGACTTCAATCTAATGACAGAAGGGACTCATTATATATTGAACCCAAATTTAGTAATTCAGTGGCCTGAATTCCATAATTGTCATGGAAATCGGTAATTGCATTGAAATGTTTGATCATATGCTATGTGTTTCTTCCAAGGGTAGCAGAAATGTTTGACGAAGCGACAAAGATATTATTGTTTACATGTTGTATTTATCTGGATAAATTAGTGCTTCTTTTAGTGGGTGATCTTTGACGGTTAAATTTGCACACGTTGATTAACTATGTTGGTGTCATGGTGTTAAGCGAAATATGAGTTTGTAAAAGTAGAAGGTATTAATATTTCAAAGTTTTTTGTTTCAAATAATAGATTCTGGGATCAGTTTGACATTTTTTATCTCCATGAATTTCCCAATATCGGATGACAAAACTGGTTGATAATAACAGGGCATTCCATCATTTTCATTTTGCAGGCAACTGTTGGTAATGATGGAAAAGAAAGTTATTGTGTTTATGATGAGGACATTGCAACTGGTTTGGGTGTGGGTTCATTCCTATTCCTCCTCCTTAGTCAGCTACTAATAATGGTGGCTAGCCGATGCTTGTGCTGTGGGAAGGCAATGAGACCAAGTGGATCTAGGGCATGGGCAGTTGTCCTCTTTATCACTTGTTGGTATGTTTTTAGTTTAAACAATCTTGTCTTCAGGGTCAAGAAGAGTCTTTCAGCAACCTTGTCGATGACTGCATTTCAATGCACTCTGTTTGGTTTCCTATCGTTCGTCTAAATGACGTTTTGGATCGGGTATTTCAGGGTGTTCTTTTTCATTGCGGAGGCATGCTTGCTGGCGGGGTCAGTACGGAATGCATATCACACCAAGTACAAGAACCTCTTAAATGATCCCCCATCATGCGCAACACTGAGAAAGGGTGTCTTTGGCGCTGGGGCTGCATTTGTTTTCTTAACAGCCATAGTCTCTCAACTTTACTATGTGAGTTATTCCAAGGCTGATGAAGCAACAGTTAACTACGGCAAAGACACCGGACTGAGGATGGGAAACCGATAGATGAATTTGCACGGAGAACATCACAAGAATTCTAAATTCTTTATTCATCGTCGGTTGACCTTAATGTTTTTGTTGTAGACAACTGATCATCTATATGTATCTTAACCATAGACATTGGCATGTGTTTTTTCCACTTTACATTACAGGTTCCTGTTTAAGCATTTTGCTGGTTTATTAAGGGTTTCGTTCTTTTCCTTTTTTCCTAATATGTTATCATTAGAGTAAGAGGTGGTTGAATTTGCTAACAACAACAATAACAAAACCGTATTTCCAAATGTAATTAGGGTAAGGGAGAGGTAGGGTAGTTGGCTGCTCCCAATGTCAGGTTGAGAGCAGTTTCCGTGGAAGATCTCCGGCAGTTATAAAATATAAAAATAAAGATAAAATGTAGTGCATGTATAAATAAATATATAAATACATAGATTAACAGTCTTCATATGTAGTCTTCATATGCGCATCTGTAATGAGAAGTAATCCCTGCAAATGAATCTCTGCGTAAAAATCTCTGTATATAGACAATGTTTTTAAGTTGGATAATCATCATTGTTTGGGTTTCATCTGATTTTAATCATCGAACTTTTAAAATTTATATTTCAAACCCTTTAATTATTGATTTTATTAAAATTTAACTATTAAGATGTTAACTCCCGTAATATTAATCACGCGATACGTTAATAATAATTTTAAATAACTTATCATTTTAGTACTTTTTATAACATATTAATTGTAATTTAACTTTTTCCTTCTCTAACAAAACCTTCTCCGTCCCATCGCACCTTCTCTGCCATCAAACACCAATATAATTAGGAAAGGGCATAGGTCGGGTTTCGGCCAACCCAACCCAAAAATTTTACATCCTTCACCCGATTTGAAAAATATATACCCTCTACCTGACTCAATTTTTTAGATAAAATCTGATTTCGATTTGATCCGAAATAATAATAAAATATTAATTTTATTCAATAAAAATAGTGATTTAGTTGAAAAATAATAATATAGAGGGGTATTATTATAATTATTCCTAAATATATAAGGAAAAATTATATTTTCCTCGGGTCGAATCGGGTTGAATATTTTTCACTATAAACACGAATCCGACCCGACCCAATCCAAACCTGAATTTAAAAAAAAAAACCAATTAGATCAAATCAGATCAAGTCGAAACCCATCAAATTCGGATTCTATTCTCATCCCTAAGTACGATCCTACCAACTACAACAGTGGACAAGATGGAGAAAGACGATAGAATTCCGTTAAAGTAAAAAAATCTAACTATAATTAAAATATTAAAAAAATACTAATTTGATAAAAGTTAACCGTTTTTATTAATCTATTATTTTATTAATATAGTAAGAATTAATGATTTAATTATCAAATCATAAATATAAATGTTCGGATGTAACTTTTAAAATTAAATGATTAAAATTTTAAAAAAAACATTCAGTGTGTTCGCTTTGTACGTTACCCTTTCAAGGTCTAAGCATTAGTAATTTAAAACTCAACAAAAATTCATTTATTGAAATAATACTCCAAACAGAAGTAGTTAGAAAATATACCTTAAACTTTCACTTAGGATTATCTCGCGTCTTACAAAACGCATTTATAGACATCACGTTTTATTGGACATCACATGGTTCAAACTTGTTAGAAAATCTTTTATTCTCATCAAATCCCAAGTAAATTCTAATTGAAACTAGAAGATAAAACTTTATGATATGCCATAATGCACTTTCAAATCAGTTTGAAATCAAATAATGTTAATCTTTTGCTCAAACATATCATTTTCATCGTTAAGATTGATCAACAACCACTCTATTCATCAAATTTGACCTTGGTGATGGTTGTAAATTTGGAACCTTAGGTTTGTTGTTGAGAAGAAGATTTTGATGTGCCACGTCAACATTCCCTAATGACAACGATCATGTTGAAAGTGAAATAAAAGTTTGGTGATTATAATGGCAGTTTTAAAAGTTTAGTGACTAAAGTGGATGCTCCTTAAAATTTTAGTGACCTCTTTAAAAATATGACAAACTGTTTGCTATACTACGCCCGTCGATGGAATACTAAAAACCAATGGATAAATTACAGTGGTGACAATTTAACTATTGTCAAGTTTCATTTTGACCACTTATGTTTTAATTTAATCAATCGAATCACTCAACTATTTAAATGTTTCAATCAAGCAACTGCCCATTAACTTTTAATGGAGGAGGTGACATGACAGTTAAAAATCAAATATAATTGTATATTTAGTCCTAAATAGTTATATATCCTATCAATTTGATCATAATTTAATTTAATTAAAATAAATTTAATCTCCAATTAAATGATGACATGTGTTACCACCTTATAGATTGAATTTAGACAAATGGATGATATATGGGCACCTGAACCACTCGACGAATTCCCAAACCTTATAAGATTTTACAACATATGCAATATTTAATTTTTTGTAGTTGTTGTGGTCCCCACATGTTATGTGCATTATGTTTATTTTACTAAAAAAATAATAATGATACTTTTTTATGAACGGATTTGAACTCTGAAAAATTTACAACTGTAGTATATCATGAGGTTTTTTGTTAGGAGACGGGGGCTAGAATACCCTGACATAAGTGGATTACTTTGATAATTGTGATGCTGATGAAATGTCCCTATTTGCAGTTACAGATATGATAAGTAAATTAAAAATTAGCTATATTCTTATGGTATATTGGCAAGTGTCAAATAATCCATCAGAAGTGAAATCACTTCTAATTGACATTGATATCTTTGAAATGCTTAGAGACTTACGTAGTGACCATTATGTTCACATTTATTTGAAAGAAAATATAGGAGATAATGAATATAATCAACATTGGGTTGAACATAATGAATGTGAAATTAATGTTGAATCATCTAAACATAATTGTTTGTGATTGAATTTGGTTTTTATTGCAGTTTTGAAGAACAAATCAAGATGAAAAATAAATCAAACAACCAATTCACGGATCCATACTGTCATATGGATGCCCATTGTCCACATGAGTCAGGATAGTTGTGTCATTCAGTCATCTCTCCGTCAAACCGAGATGCAAAATCAAAGAATCATTCCAAAGCCACAATCACCTCCACAAGGTATATTGTTAGTTGGATTTCCACCCCCATTGTACAGATGAGTCATGATTCTTCTACCAGTCAGTTATCTCTAAAGAGGCATAAGAGTGATACTTGATTTTGTTGATAGCATAGGTCTTTTGTTTGATCTTTTTAACTAATGCGTTTGACTATATACATTTGACCATTGTGTTTTGATCAATTGATATTGTTAGGTCTTTTGTTTGATCTTTTGTCATATGGTCTTTTGTTTTGTTCATGTATATTGGTCAAATAATGATGTATGTCATATATTGGTCTGGCAATTAATGCAATGTTAATTTTTTTGAATGTTTTCTTTTTTAAGACAAATTTAAATTCAACTTACAAAGCATAACATTGATAAAATAAATTACATAAATCACTCCCACAAGGAAGAAAAGAAAAATAAGACATCAAATTATTACCTTAAATCATTCTCACAAATATTAGTAATAACAAAAGAAGATAAAAAAAGAAGATACCATAGTTAACTGATAATAATACCAACTATCACTCCCACAAAGAAGATAAAAAAAAGAAGTAAAAATTCACTGAAGTTTATGTTTTCATTATTCTTGCTTCATTGCTCCAATTTTTCTTAGAAGACCAACAATAACAATTTTAAGCCGAAATTTTATGTTATAAAATTATATAAAATTGAGTTATTGGTTGAGTGGTATAGGGCTTCAAGTGAATTAACGATATTCTCTTGTCCCAGGTTTAATCCCCTTAAGCATCACTTCTCCTCAATAATTTATTTTTCATTTATAAGGTGGTGACATGTGTCACAATCTTATTGAAGGATAAATATTGATTAAATTGATAGAATATATAAACATTAACGATGGAAAAAATTAGGTTTTAAATTAGTACTTAAATTACAATTTACATTTTTGTTTTTAGCCGTGTTCCATTTATCGTTATTGCGGATATAACGGATTACATAGTTGTCATTGTGTTGAACTATGTTTCGATATAACAATTTAAGGCAAAATGGTTTTTGGACTTGAATTGAATTTACAAAATGTATTTGGACTTAATTGAATTTATTCCAAATTTACAAAAATAATTCAAAGTTCCTTCAATTTAAATTTGAGCACAAAAATGTTTTTATGAACAATAATTTACTATTTGAACAGTAAATTACTATTTGAACAGTAAATCACTGTTTAAACAGTACCCCGAGGCTAAAAAATTCCAGTATGTAAAAGGGGAACCGATTCCCCCCAAGGGGGTACCGATTCCCTCACTGTTCATCAGCCCAACGGTCATAATATTTGAATATTATGAAGGGGTATCGATTCCCTATGAAGGGGTACCGATTCCCCCCATTATGGGCAGCCTATTTTTGCAGAAAAATCATTCCCAAACGGCTCCAAAACATCCCCAACGGCTAGATATGACTTCAAACACATTCCAAGCTATAAATACAAGCTAAGGACACTTGAAGAAGTAATATAACAACTATCCAAGCAATCAAACACAAGAGAAGAATTTTTCATTCTTATTTCATCTTTCTCTTGTATATTATTTTGTTCTTGTGAGCTCAATCTTGTAAACACCTACCTTAGAGAGGTTTTCTTGTTTACATTTCTTATCCTTTTGTAAAGGGGAAAGGTTCTAGCTAATCCCGTGTAAAAGCTAGGGAAAGGTTCTAGTTTATCCCGAAAAAACTAGGGAGTTTGTAAGGTTACTCTTTATCCTCAAAAGAAAGAACAAATTAGTGAATTTGTTGGAAAATCCTTGGTGAGGAGCTAAGATAGTGGACGTAGACTTTGATTGAGAAAGTCGAACCACTATAAATCGCTGTGCAATTCTCTATCTTTCAATCTTCTTATTCCCTAAACACAAAACCGGTCCGACCCCTCTTTACAAATCGTTCCGGTTGTCGATTCGAGCTTCCGAAAATCCTAACACATTGCAAGTACCATGATTGTGGATTTTTAATATCATGTGTTATTGTGGACATAATGATTATGGATATTGTGGTTTTGGACGATGTTGTTACGGCTACATCACGATCATTATTGTGGTTACAGACCATTATTTCAGTAATTGTTTTTAATAACAAGTGTTG